GCCGGTGGCCTCAAAACACACATCAAATCCCTCTAAAAACGCCTTTTCTGGGGGCTGAAAGACATCGGAGCCGGACTCTAGATCCTATTTTCTTTGAGTGTTTCTGGTGGGGGGGTTGGGTGGATGGGTGAGGGAGGGGGGTGGGGGGGGGGCTTTACCTGCCTCCGTCTCCCGCCTCCCGCACCAGCTCCTCGGCTAACCTCGTGGCCGTCTCGTCGCTGTACCAGAACTGACTCATCCGCTGGTGGGGACAAACAGAGACACGGTGAGGAAGTCCAGACTGTGAAGCTTTCCCCTTTTTCCCCTTGTTAAGTAAACAGATTCGGCCTATTTAAGTACATCTCTATTAAAGATTCACTTAACCAGGAAATAAAATAAAAAATCTCTTTCCGAGAGCATCCAGTCACCAGGTAAACAACAAACAAGACGTACACAATAAATACACGATGTAGGCGCCATCAGGAACTATACAGCATCAGAAACTGAAATTAAACAAACTAAATATATATATAATATATACTAAAACATCAGAAAATCAATAAAGGCCAATTACAACCAGACTTTTCTGCTTCTTATACGTTTAAAATACCTTTAAACTTCTTTCACAGTTGAATATTCTGAGCTAAATGTGGAAATGTAATGTTAAAAGCAGCTTTAGTTGATTGGGACAAAGGAAATCCAACACTTCCTAAAAATATTATATTATGAATAAGAATGAGCCCGATTTCAAAGAGCTTTGCAGGAAACTTTAATTTCCTTATTTTGTTTTCCCAAAATCACTATTTTGGTTAATTGTGGCTCCCAACTATGTGGCAAAAGGTCCAGTGACCCCACCCAGTCCTCCTCCACGGCCCCCACGGCGAACGGGTCCGTCTGGACGGGTCCGGGATCCGGACCGGTCCCGGTCTCCCGGTAAAACTCCTGCAGGGCGGCCAGCGCATGCGCAGACAGGGCGGGAACATCATCATCCTCATCGCTGCTCATGGCTGGATCCGGGACAATGGGCCGAACCGGGACTAGATAAACACACACGGGATTAATGAGGAGGTTTCCTGGCTTTGTGCTTTCACAGCTGAGAGGAAAAAAAACAGAAACCTTTTGACACATGACACGTGTTCATGAAATGTCAGCTGTTCAATGACATTCATGTAATTTTACAGGTAATAATATTAATTTAGACGTGGATTTCTGCATATTAATAGTTGATAGTTGAGAGCTATTTTTGTTAAGATATTCAATCTTCTTCCCAATTGAAAATGAAAACAAGCATGAGCCGGGCTAAGTGTGTGACCCTCGTCGGTTAGTAAGTTAGTTGGATCGTTTTAAAGCTAAATGTAAATCTCGCGTGAATTTGCGCGAATCTAAAAGTTTCACAGCAGTTTTGACACTCACAAATGTTTAATTCTGGGTTTTTCCAAACAAACCTGCTCGGAAACGTGCTTCTTCGAGCCGTCAGGATCCGTTCTGTTTGGAACACGTGATCAGAAACAGGAAGTAGAAACGATAAGAAAACTACGGCTTCTGCCGAGGGACAAAAAGCACGGACGGTCTTTGGTTGCCCATACTGTTAGAAATCAGCCAGTTTGATTAAACTTTTATATTAGATTATATACTTTTTATATATTCAAATATATTATATTATATTAATAAATGAGTAAAAAACTAAACAAAAAGAGATTTGCTGTTACCAGTAAACATTGTTAAAGCATTTTATTTTCTGACTTTCGGGTCAAATGGGCTCAAAACGGACTAACTGTAGTTTTCTTATCAGATTATTTAATAGAAAGATGATCTAATAGAAAGGTTTTCCAGGGAAGGAGCTCCAACTTTATGCCAGCTGATTTGAATAGTGATTTTAAGGTTGCTCATAGATGTTGTAAAACCCCCCAAAATGTGTGCTAAAAAGAACAAAAAAAGACAAAACCTGCAGACATTTTGTGGCTTTTGTTGAACGCGTGCCGTCGTGTTATAAAAAAACGAGATCACTTTATTTATTACTAAAGTAAATAAAAGACAGTACAGCAGAAACGGCACATTTAAAAGGAAACTGCAGAGCCCGGAACATTTTATACAATAATTTATGTACACTTTTACACTTCATTAACAAAACAGCCGTCTACAACAACTGGGATAGTGCAGAACCCCGGAGGCGTCTCTCTCCCCTCAGTGGCTCTGCTCCTCTGATTTGGTTTGTTATTGCTGTCCTTCAACAGTCTCTGCTGCCATCCAGTGTGTGCCGAGCGATACTGCTGATATCAGCCCGGTAAAGCTCCGCGGGGGGGGCGGGGGGGTATAGAGGGGGGGGGGACTACAATCCAAATAGAAAAAACAATATCAAACTGCAAAGGTCAACACGGCTAAAGTTGCTCCCTCTTTAGCTGGATTCGCTAAACTCTTGAAATCCGTCGCCAACCAGCATTATAAAAACATCTCAGTCACCTTTATTCTTTTAAAATGTTCATTTCTGAAGGTTTCTCTTTGAAAACGTCATAAATTTAAATATACACGTGTGTTCATTGATGCGTGCGTGGAAATAAAATACGTCGACGCCTCTCCCGGTTTTGGTTTCGTCC